ATTATTTATACTTTTGTATTTTATTTACCTTTGTATTAGTTATACTTTGTATTTTATTTTATCTTTGTATTATTTATACTTTGTATTCTTTATACTTTGTATTTTATTTGCCTTTTGTATTATTTATACTTTTGTATTTTATTTATCTTTGTATTATTTATATCTTTGTATTTTATTTGCCTTTTGTATTATTTATACTTTTGTATTTTATTTACCTTTGTATTATTTATATCTTTGTATTTTATTTACCTTTTGTATTATTTATACTTTTGTATTTTATTTACCTTTGTATTATTTATATCTTTGTATTTTATTTACCTTTTGTCTTATACTTTTGTATTTTATTTATCTTTGTATTATTTATACTTCTTTATTTTATTTACCTTTGTATTCTTTATACCTTTGTATTTCATTTACCTTTGTTTATAATGTGGACTAATAGTTTCAGCCCTGATGAGAAAACACATCTGTTTAGCAATCTTAAACATCAGCCATATCATAATCTGTGTTTTAAGGCACAACAGATGATTGTTGATTCGAAAACAAGTTCTCTGTTTGTCCAGGAGACACCAGGCTCATGGAGGTGATGTGCAGAGCTGGTCTTTTGCCCTCCAGCTGGTGATGGATGAAGGCTGTTGTTTTTTTTTTTTGCCTTAAGTGATCAATCATAGGGGAGGAGTGTGTTTGCAGACAAACAGTCATAAACACACAGCCTTTGCTCCGTCATGAGGAACGATAGTTCTGCTTTCATTTTCAGACTGAAGCCTCTGTATTGCATATTCGTGTTTTGGATAAATCGGTGGTTAAGTAGTATTAATTAAAGCTGTTGATTTTAAAAAGGTGTATTTAATATATGCAGTTAAAGACTTATTAGCCCTGCTAAACACAGATCCACTCTCACATTCACACACACACACTCATACACTATGGCCAATTTAATTTATTCAGTGCACCTATAGCACATGTGTTTGGACTGTTGGTGAAACCCAAAGGAATCCCACGCCAACACGGGGAGAACATGCAAACTCCACGCAGAAATGCCAACTGGTCCAGCAGGGACTCAAACCAGTGACCTGCTTGCTGTGAGGCCACAATGCTAACCACCGAGCCACCCACTTTTGAACTGTAGTAAATGCATTTATTAGTACAGCATATCTGCTCAGGTGACAAAATCTGCTCTTTCGACTTGGATTAATAATGTCATTCTTGATCTTGTTGTGCAAAACTTTCCTCCCGGAGTTTTCCATTACACTATGATCATTTGCGAGCACTAAATGTCAATTCGTGTTTATTACACTATTACTTTTACATTCCGCTCAGTCTCATGTTTTCAGGCGTCAGACAAAAGTACTGACGGAAAATACAAGTGGAAAGTCTTTGTCGGCCTACATTAGTGAAGTCACACATGCCTTTTCTGTGGAACTACATGTACATTTGATTTAATGTGACCTCAGCGTAATTCATCAGAATTGTATGATTCTGGTGCACTGGTAAAAAAAAAAAAAACAAGGTCTTCTGTTTGATTCTCACAAATTATCACAGTATTTTTACAGCAGCTGTAGGTTTAGCATATGCCACATAGTTTGTTTCTCAAACATTAGCAGGGTTTGAGTTATATCTGGGTTTGACCTCCTTAAATGATGCTTGATCCCTCTGATGGACATCAAAACAATATGTGGTGCGTTTACCTTTAAATAGTGGAAAATAGGGTGCATGATACTGGAAAAAGATGCAGTGTACAATACTGTTGAGTAGTGTGGTAACCGTGCTTTTTACAAATAAGGCTGCACACTATTGGGAAAAAATGACATTGCGATATTTAATTTTCTACAATATATATTGAGATATCGATCATTTTATACTGATTGTGAGTGCATCTGCATAAAGTATAATAAACCAGAATCCCACTACCAATACTACAGCCAATTACTCTAACAACTTGATGGAAACGCATCTAATTCTAACTAACTTAGCTAACTTGGCTAACTAACTAAACTAACCAACTAAGTTGAATATAATCCTCCCAAACACCACCCCCCAAAATAAATGAAATGAAAAATCTTGACCTAACGAACATTGCACTCACGTGACCAATCAGCTGTCTCTATTATCCTTGCCTTGTTTACTGTTGGTTGCTGGGTTACCAAGCCACTCTAACAACTTGATGGAAACGCATCTATTTCTAACTAACTAACTAAGCTAACTTGGCTAATAAACAAACTAATCAACTAAACTAACCAACTTGAATATGATTCTCCCAATCAAAGAACGCAGAGAATGGACTTGTGTTCTTGTGGAGAGCGGTCTTGCCAGGTGTCCTCGGAAGAACGAACTCAGGAGACTACGAGGGCAGAGAACGCATCCTTTGAGAAGTGAGATGCTGCGTTCTTCCTGATGGTCACATGACCTTCACATGTTTTAAATGGAAATTATTTAAACATTGCAACATTCATACAACGATTTATTGTCCCCCCCCCTCTTCAAAATATATACTTTGCATAAAGGCATTATAAATATACCCTGCACAATATAAATAAAACACATTTTAAAACGAATTTCAGCAAACAAAAACCCTTAATGTGTTTATTCCTTAATTAAGATGTTCATGTTAATGTTTACTTTCACCATTTCATTTAGGGAAACTCCTGAGGTAAATAAATTATATTTCTGAACTTTAATAATAAATCTAAATAAAATGCTGCGCTTCCCATCTCCAGTCGCAATGACTTCTGGGACTTCCAGAGCGAGTTCGGTGCTCAAGTCTGCATCAGTGCGTCCTCGATATCAAGATCACATCCGGGAAGTTTCACGCGTCCTCCGTACTTGCGGTCTTGAGTATTGGAACTGAACTTAGGCAGCTGATGATGACGTTGCATGAGAATACGAGGACGCAAGACCGCTGAAGAACACATATTGAGAAACAGCCATTGACATTATGAACTTTACTCTCACGTGACCAACCAGATGTTTCTATTATGCTTGAGTTGTTTACTGTTGGTTGCTAGGTTACCAATACTACAGTCAGCCACTCTAACAATTTGATGGAAACACACTTAATTAACTGAACTAAACTAACTAGGCTAAATTGACAAACAAACAACCAAACTAACTAAACTAACCAACTAAGTTGAATCTGATTCTGCCAAACAACCCCCCCCCCTAAAAAAATAAAATTAAATAAATAAATGAAATTAAAAACCTTGACATATATTAAATGTAATATTAAACCAGAAACATTAAAAGCTGCAGAGACAGGAATAATAAAAGTGTTTTTATCAGTGAGCAAGGCCCAATCATGTACTAAGATCATTTTGAAATTATATAAGAGATTTTGCGAATCAGTATCGGAAAATACACTATATGTCAGAGATAAATGGAAAATGGAGGGAAATCTGAATATCTCAGATGAAGATTGGCGGAATATTTGTTCAACCCATTGGAAATGTACCAGCTCTGCCATGTGGAGAGAATTCTGTTGGAAGAATGTCTTAAGGTTTTTTATCACACCATCACAGAAAATACATAGAGGAAAGGGTACTAGCTGCTGGAGAATGTGTGGGGAAAAAATAGCTAATCATTATCATGTTTTTTGGGATTGTCAGAAATTAACCCCATATTGGAAAGAGATTAAAATACATCTGGATGCCATTTTTGAAGTAGAGATTGCCTTTACCTGTGAATCTTTATATTTAGGTAATATAAATTTGGATGGATGGATTAATAAAGACAAGAAACTGCTATTTATTCTTTTGGCAGCTAGTAAAAAAGTAATCACAAAAAAATGGTTAAAATTAGAGTCACCTACAGTTGAAGAATGGATTGATACAGTGCACACTATATATGTCATGGAAAAACTATCGTTTTCATTAAGAACACAAACAGAATACTTTTTTCTAATTTGGAGTAAATGGACTGAGTATATTTCACCAATATGCCCGAATTTTTCTTGAATTGTAACCTAAATGTAACATTGTATAAATAAGTATCTTTTCTTCTTTAAAGGAAAACTTTTAAAGGACTTGTAGCTCCCCATGTTTTACTGTTCATAGTTATTCTTGTTGTTAAAGAGAAGAAAATACAAAGCACATACAAGATATGTAAGTCTCTTTCTGTATGAGAGAATATGTAAGATATATATGTATTTTCTTCTGAAAACTCAAAATAAAAAATTAAAAAAAAAAAAAAACCTTGACATAACAAACATTACACTCATTTGACCAATCAGCTGTCTCTATGCTTGCCTTGTTTACTGTTGGTTGCTAGGTTACCAATACTACAGTCAGCCACTCTAACAATTTGATGGAAACACACTTAATTGTAACTAACTGAACTAAACTAACTAGGCTAAATTGACTAACAAACAACCAAACTAACTAAACTAACCAACTAAGTTGAATCTGGTTCTCCCAAACACCCACCCCCCCCCCCCCAAAAAAAAAAAAATAAATAAATAAAAGAAATGAAAAACCTTGACATAACAAACATTACACTCATTTGACCAATCAGCTGTCTCTGCTTGCCTTGTTTACTGTTAGTTGCTAGGTTACCAATACTACAGTCAGCCACTCTAACAATTTGATGGAAACACACTTAATTGTAACTAACTGAACTAAACTAACTAGGCTAAATTGACTAACAAACAACCAAACTAACTAAACTAACCAACTAAGTTGAATCTGATTCTCCCAAACAACCCCCCCCCCCAAAAAAATAAATAAATAAATAAATGAAATGAAAAACCTTGACATAACAAACATTACACTGATTTGACCAATCAGCTGTCTCTGCTTGCCTTGTTTACTGTTGGTTGCTAGGTTACCAATACTGCAGTCAGCCACTCTAACAACTTGATGGAAATGTGCTTAATTCACATTTGGGATTTCATTTATTAATTTGTTTTAGTGAACTTGAAAAGATTTGCTTCGCATTACGATGGAACCCTAATGTTTATTTCACACACTGCATATTATTGGTAATTTACATCTCCTCTGCATCTGCAGGTCGTAATGAGCCGCTGAAGAAAGACAAGCCCAAGTGGAAGAGCGATTATCCCATGACGGAGGGGCAGCTCCGCAGTAAGAGGGATGAGTTCTGGGATACGGCGCCGGCGTTTGAGGGCCGCAAGGAGATCTGGGACGCCCTGAAAGCGGCTGCTGTGGCTCTGGAGTGTAGTGATCATGAACTGGCTCAGGCTATAGTGGACGGAGCCAACATCACATTACCACATGGTGAGAGCTGCTGCTTTGCCTTATCACTTTGATTGGTTGCTTTTAAAGAAGTTTAGAAGAATGTTTGAGCTGCACTTTTACTCGAGTAACTTTTACTTGAGTATAGATTTTGGATGCTCTACCCACCTCTGTGTCTGTTTGTGTTTTCGACCACTTTAGGATCCCTAACAGAGTGTTATGATGAACTGGGCAACCGCTACCAGCTCCCGGTTTACTGCCTGGCTCCACCGGTCAACCTGATATCTGAAAGAAGCGAAGAAGACCTGACAGACAATCCCGAACCGCAGACGACCCAGAAGAAAGAGTTTCAGCTGAAGGTTCGACTCTCCACCGGTAAAGACCTGCGTCTGAACGCCAGCATGAGCGACACCATCGGCCTGCTGAAAAAACAACTACAAGCTCAGGAGGACATTGATATCGGCCACCAGCGCTGGTTCTTCTCTGGAAAGCTTCTCACGGACAAAACCCGCCTGCAGGACACCAAGATCCAGAAGGATTTCGTCATTCAGGTCATCGTGAACCAACCCGCACCAAACCACTGAGACCGAACTGCAATGAAAAATAAAGGACCAAAACACACACACACACACACACAAACCCAAATCAAGCAACTCAATCCTGCTGTTTTAAAGGGAATTCTGGGTATTAATACTTGTATGACTTAGTTTATAAGGATGGTTCATCTGAAAATGATAGTTCGGTCTTCATTTACTCGGCCTTTACTTGTTTCAGAGCTTTGTGAGTATCTTATAAAGTACATTTAAAGAAGATATTTTGAAAAATGTTTTAAACCTGTAACCATTGATTGGCTTTCAAAGTATTTGTTTTTCCTATTATGGATGTCAGTGGTTACAGGTTTTTCAGCTTTCTTTAAAATATCATCTTTAGTGTTGAATTAAACCGAGTGCAGAAATCTGTGTTTAATAAAAAGTGTAAAGGATTAAGTTATTATTATTATTTTAAATCGGTTTATACAAATTTGGGGCAATAGGGGGCGCCATTGTTTTCGATGACACCACGGTTGCACCACTACCTGCTGCTGGTATAATGCTGTTCACACACCAATTGTGGCATGTGCGAATAAATCACGCTTAAATGAATGTATTTTGAGTTTACTCGCTTCAAGCTGTGGTCACGCTGGACTTTTCTCCCTATAGACTTCCATTCATATACACGCGAATGCGTCAAGACGGGAAACGCAGGGTCATGCATCAAGTTCTAAATCGCATCACTTGACTGCGTAGGACCAATCGAGGCTCAAACATGACCTCTCTGGACAGAAATTTAAAACCTAGAGCAATCGCTCGCTTTTTTTAATGTCTAACCATGTTTAATCCCGCCCATTTTCGCAGCGCCGCACCACAGAATTTCGCATTATCAAACTCTAGTGTGACTGCAGCTTCATTTGCTCGTGAAATTCGCTACACAATAGATGTGGATTCACGTTATGGACGTGGCTTTTGTCTGACTGATGACTCTAGTTTCATTGCTAACATGGATTTTATTGAAAGAGTAGCTGTGCTTTATGTGCTTTAGGAAGGCTGTAAAACAGCGTAGATTTGTTTGGCGCCATGTCTGAGTCCACTAGATCCTTTCAGGGCTGCAGAAGCGATACCTGGATCATGGAAGCTTTCAGCAGTGCTTCTGATTGAGCCGAGCCCAGGTGTATGAACTGTTGTCTGGTGTCGGCAAGAAGATTTCCCCCTCGAGAAATCGCGTCATTCGCTCCACCTCATAAATAAAGATCGAAATCTTTGATGATAATTGGAGCAAATGGCGCCTAATATGAGCTAAAACAGAAAATATGTAATTTTTACAAGTTTCAACGACTATTTTCATGGTTTAAATTAATTTTTTTTGTCAACATGACAATATTTCTATAACAATCTGTATAATAATAACAATTTAAATAATAAATTAAATATTTAGATGATGACTTTTTAGAAAATGTATTGATGAAGATGTATAAATGAATGTTTTGATAAAAATATTTAGAAATTATTATTTATATAATGAAGATCGAAAATAATGGCGCCCCCTATAGTCCAAAATGAATGCACTTTTTTTTAAATTAGTAAATCGGCAGCACGGTGGCGCAGTGGGTAGCGCTCTCGCCTCACAGCAAGAAGGTCGCTGGTTCGAGCCTCGGCTGGGTCAGTTGGCATTCCTTTGAGGAGTTCTCCCCGTGTTCGTGTGGGTCCGGTTTCCCCCACATGCGCTATAAGCGAATTGAGTAAGCCGTAGTGTATGTTTGTGAATGAGAGGGTATGGGTGTTTCCCAAGTAATGGGTTGCAGCTGGAAGGGCATCCGCATGCTGGAATAGTTGGCGGTTCATTCCGCTGTGGCGACCCCAGATTAATTAAGGGACTAAGCTGAAAAGAAAACTAATCACTGAATAAACAACGTAAATCATTCATTGGTAGATCTTTTAGTAAAGATGCATCATTTATGCGCTATTATTAAGCCTTACAAGTCTTAATACCCAGGTTTTGTACTGCATACATCAAGTCCTCGAACATCTGGAGCAACCAACAAACCACAGATCACATCAGTGCCAACGTGAATTGTGGTCTTGAAGCACACACTGGTTTTAAGTCCCTCGACTATGCACATCCTGCAAAGTCCAAAACGCGAGAAATCTCCAACTTGAGCTTCATTTTGCACACTTTTGAGTATCTTAGAATAGCCGTGCCTTGAACGAAGAGTAGATGGTTCTTCAATCCTGTTTGTATTTCGCTTACGAGGCATGTTAAACCGATCACATGCTCTTTTTTTGTTTTTGTATTTTAAGACTGATGTCTACGAGCACAAACCAGTACTATGCAATCTTCAAATCATTGGAAATCACGCTGATAATACTCATTCGACATGAGTCGCTGATCTACATTTCCGACATGTTTTCTGAAAAGGCTCACTGTGAACATGGGAGTGCACAAAGGACACATTAATCTGCCAGCGATTTCCATTAGCATCCGTGGGCCTGTAGATTACAGATATAAAGAAACCGTATAAAGGAAGTATCGCAGACGCTGTCACTTTAAAGGCGGTCTGACTTCCTCTGTTTTAATAGTGCTGTTATGCTGTAAGTGCTCAGGCTGCAATCAAGAGAATATTGATCATATTCTGGGAGATTATATTCTGTATATGTTTTTTTTTTCATTTGTTTTCTTAAGTAGCTTCTTAATTTTTTATGATAAGTGGCGTTATAGATGCAGTTAAAGTCAAAATGATTAACCCTCCTGTTAAAAATGTTTCCCAAGTGCTGTTAAAAACTGAGTTTTTCAACGTATTTCTAAATATAAAAGCTTTAATCGCTAATTTCTAATAACTAATTTCTTTTGACTTTGCCAAAATAACAGTATGTAATGATATTTTGGCCTGGTTTTCAGCTTAAAGTGGGCCTATTATGCAAAAATCACTTTTATAATGGGTTTAAACGCAGTTATGTGGCAACAGTGTGTGAATATAATCAGCTTCTAATGGGAAAAAAAATTTAATTAAATATATTGTTTATAATCGCACTTGATTAAAAACAGCCTGTAGAAACACTTTGATTGACATTCTCCCTTTGTATGCATCATCAGAGGGGGAAAGCCCCGCCCACTAGTGCCCATCTCTCCCTCATTAGCATAAGCAGCCCTGAGTGAGAAGCAGCAGGCTGCCATTAGAGTTTTGAATCTGCCACTATACTGACACGTAGGTATCTGTAGCTCCGCCCTTTTCTGAAAAGAGCAAATCTCATTTAAATTTAAAGCAACAGTCACCAAACTGGCACAATTTGAATGAAAGCCTAAAAGGGTCAGTTCAAAGAGTTATAAACACTATTTGTGTTGTATTCATTTTACATCTTGTAAAAACGTGCATAATAGGCCCCCTTTAAAAGTCTTAACAAGGTTAATGCAGGTTAACTAGGCAGGTCATTGGATAACAGTGGCTTTTATTCCAGCCAAGCTCAAAGGAATTGTGCAAAAATCACTTTTGTAAGGGGTTTAAACACAGCCGTGTGGTGACTGTGTGTGAATATAGCCAGCCTATAATGGTAAAAAAATAATTAATTCTATTTTTCATAAGCACACGATTAAAAACAGCCTGCCGAAACACTTTAAATGACATTCTCTCTTTATATGTGTCATTAGAGGGGAAAGCCCCGCCCATTATTGATGCATATTGATAGATCTGTCCCTCATTAGCATAAACAGCCCTGAGTGAGAAGCAGCTGGCTGCCATTAGAGTTTTGAATCTGCCCCTATACTGACACGTAGGTATCTGTAGCTCCGCCCTTTTCTGAAAAGAGCAAATCTCATTTAAATTTAAAGCAACAGTCACCAAACTGGCACAATTTGAATGAAAGCCTAAAAGGGTCAGTTCAAAGAGTTATAACACTATTTGTGTGGTATTCATTTTACATCTTGTAAAAACGTGCATAATAGGCCCCCTTTAAAAGTCTTAACAAGGTTAATGCAGGTTAACTAGGCAGGTCATCGGATAACAGTGGCTTTTATTCCAGCCAAGCTCAAAGGAATTGTGCAAAAATCACTTTTGTAAGGGGTTTAAACACAGCCGTGTGGTGACTGTGTGTGAATATAGCCAGCCTATAATGGTAAAAAAATAATTAATTCTATTTTTCATTAGCACACTATTAAAAACAGCCTGCCAAAACACTTTAAATGACATTCTCTCTTTATATGTGTCATTAGAGGGGGAAAGCCCCGCCCATTATTGATGCATATTAATATATCTGTTTCTCATTAGCATAAACAGCCCTGAGTGAGAAGCAGCTGGCTGCCATTAGAGTTTTGAATCTGCCCTTAAACTGATACGTAGGTATCTGTAGCTCCGCCCTCTTCTGAAAAAAGCAAATCTCATTTGAATTTAAAGCAACAGTCACCAAACTGGCACAATTTGAATGAAAGCCTAAAAGGGTCAGTTCAAAGTGTTATAAACACTATTTGTGTGGTATTCATTTTACATCTTGTAAAAACGTGCATAATAGGCCCCCTTTAAAAGTCTTAACAAGGTTAATGCAGGTTAACTAGGCAGGTCATTGGATAACAGTGGCTTTTATTCCAGCCAAGCTCAAAGGAATTGTGCAAGCATCACTTTTGTAAGGGGTTTAAACACAGCCGTGTGATGACTGTGTGTGAATATAGCCAGCCTATAATGGTAAAAAAATAATTAATTCTATTTTTCATAAGCACACGATTAAAAACAGCCTGGCGAAACACTTTAAATGACATTCTCTCTTTATATGTGTCATTAGAGGGGGAAAGCCCCGCCCATTATTGATGCATATTGATAGATCTGTCCCTCATTAGCATAAACAGCCCTGAGTGAGAAGCAGCAGGCTGCCATTAGAGTTTTGAATCTGCCCTTAAACTGATACGTAGGTATCTGTAGCTCCGCCCTTTTCTGAAAAAGAGCAAATCTCATTTAAATTTAAAGCAACAGTCACCAAACTGGCACAATTTGAATCAAAGCCTAAAAGGGTCAGTTCAAAGAGTTATAAACACTATTTGTGTGGTATTTTGAGCTGAACTTCACACACACACTTTAGGGACATCAGAGATTTATTTTACATCTTGTAAAAATATGCATGATAGGCCCCCTTTTAAAGTCTTAACAAGGTTAATGCAGGTTAACTAGGCAGGTCATTGGATTACAGTGGCTTTTATTAAAAAAAAAAAGAGACTATCAAGAAGAAAAATTAGTAAAGGCAACACTCAGACAATTTCCTTGCTCTGTTAAACATCATTTGGGAAATATTTTTAAAAAGAATACACAATTTCACATAAGGGCTGATCATTTTCCCCTTAACTGTGTATTAGGAGCGTCACTTTAAGAATGCATTGCAACATTTGGTCTGCATCTGTAACAGGTTATGTGTATTAGGAGAGGTTTCTTTTCACTTTCTCATGATTATTTCACCATGTGACTCTCTG